AGGCTTTCATCAAGCACGAAAGCAACAACAACAACAACAAAAACAAAAGCAAAACAAAACAAAATGAAAACAAATATTTCTTCACAGTATCTTTTTCAAGGGATTAACTTTGTACCATCTGGAGACAAAGAAATTAATTTGATTATAAATAACTGAAATAAGATTCTGGTCAGTATTTCATTAATTTGACAAACTTATTCTGAGGCATCACTATTTAAACATATGCACATAAATTATGCATAAGTACATGTATATATTTAGCAACATATGTTAAATATAAATATATAAGTCAAAATTTAAATTGTAAAATCTCCTTTAAGGTCCTGTTAATTAATTTGTAGTCCATTCCAAAGGACAGTTGAAGGCTGATTAAAGTTTAAGAGTACAATGAAATGTGAGATGATATAACAAATGTCAATTTTCTTAACCAATGGTATAATCAGCTAAGTGAAATTATTGCAAATTAATGAAGTTAAAATTTCTATTAAAATTAAGTTGAAAACCACATTAACTTATAACTGTTGAATTCAAAACTCCAAATGATTTTTTCATTGTTTTTTTAAGTAACTAATATTTATTCCAATAAGGCTCTTTCAAATTGAACTTGTTTTGATTTCCTAAAAATAATATCCCTCCCATGAGAAAAGACTGATGTAGACAATCACCACCTTTGTCTGTGGGACTTTGTAACAGAATTATAGAAATTAGTACATTAAATGAATTACCTAATACAATGAGGAATACATTGTGATTATAATGCACTGCCACTGAAGCTTTTATTCATGTAAGAATAACAAAAGTAGCAGACCATCAAATGAAATGTCACAGAATATAAAGAAATCCTTAGAGGAAAAACAATATGAGACAAATGGATAAAGAATCTGAAAATGCTTACTCTAGTAAACTACAGATCTCAAGGCAGAAGAACTCTTGACATAATTTCTGTGGTTGTGATATAAATTGAAGGAATATTCTGGTAAATGATCCAATGTAAGCGCTGGAGATTTTTTTTTTTTTCCTTCTGGCTACAGATGAGACTGCAGGAAAGGTGGACAAAGACCCATTAAGTTTTGGTAAGGAAGTATGGCTTCCTAGATTTGATGTGAGATCATATCTTACTCTTAAAAAAAAATGAGTGTAAGAAATCTGCTTCAGAAATTTAATTAGCATATTATCATCTGGTATAATCAATATTAATGTAAAAATTATCAAAGAATCCATTCCCATGCCAAAATGAGTATCAGGAGGAATAATAGACTCTTACAGAAAGAAATGTAAAAAGATTCCAGAGACAATCACATAGATACATTTAAATTAATCTGACATCTATGATCTCACAATCTATCTCTTTTGATTATCTTGTTGAAAAAAATGTTATCTATGTATCTATCTATTTTCATCTTAATGACTGTAAAGATTTTTATAGTATTATTAACTATTTATACTAAAATATCTTCCATGCATTTTATTCAAAGGCCAAATATAATTTCTATTTTAAACAATGATATCAACTCAAACATCAGCAAATATAGCTAAGTCTGAATTTCATGAACAAGTAAGGAATTGTTAAAAATTTTATTAATCAATATAATCTTAGATAATTATTTAAACATGGAAAAAAGATGCTTATTGAAATTCAAGTATGTAATTTATTTCAAGCAGAGTTTTATACAATCTGAAATGTTCCAAAGTTTCTTGAGATGACTTCTAAAGGTTTTGGGTTTTTTTTTTTCTGGAGTTTCTATACTTTTGGCTGAAAATATAAATGTAACAATTGTGAATATATAACACTGTGTGTACTTTTTTTTTTAAAGAGAGAGTGAGAGAGGAGAGAGAGAGAAAGAGAGAATTTTTAATATTTATTTTTTAGTTCTCGGCGGACACAACATCTTTGTTGGTATGTGGTACTGAGGATGGAACCCGGGCCGCATGCATGCCAGGCAAGCGCGCTACCGCTTGAGCCACATCCCCAGCCCCTGTGTGTACTTTTAACAACACATACTTTAACCTGTGGTATAGAATGTTACACAACATTAATTAATATTTAACTATGCCCATGTTTCTTGAGATTCTTTTAAGTTAGTGGTGTGGTCCCAAATATTGCCTCTGTAGCAGTACAAAGTAGTTATTTCCAAGTTGGCAAGAAGTCAAGGTAACTTATTTATTTATTTAATTTTGTATTTATTTATTTATTACCAGGGATTGAACCCAGGTGCAGTTAGCCATTAGCCACATCCTCCGTCCTTTTAATTTTTATTTTTATTTTAAGTTGCTTAGGGCCTTGCTAAATTTCTGATGATTGCTTTGAACTTGTAACTTTCCTGCCTAAGGTTCTCTAGTCACTGGGAATAAAGGTGTGTGCCACCCTGTCCAGTGTCAAACATTTTGACAATATTTTTGAAAGAATCAAAATAAGTTTTTTAAAAAATAGTCATGTCAGTAGAGCTCATAATATTTTTAAAATATGAAGATTCTTTTCAGAATGGGGAATTATCCACAGTGCTTACTCTATACTTCATCCTTATTACTGCTTTCCTCATTTACAGGCAAAAAGATTGAAGGGGCGGACAAGCGCCTTTCCTACTTTGATACAGGTTTACAGAAATATATAACATTTATTTTCCATCTAAAGCAAATTATAGCCTTCTCTATATGTCATGAAATGAATTCACCCACTGTTGAAATGCTATTTAATTGGCAGCAACTTAATAGGTTAAGCCTGAGTTGAAACACAAATAAAATATATATTTAGAAGTAGTCTAAACAAACTGATTTTCATGTTTAAAATATTTTTTTCTCATTACTTATTTATCCAAAAATACTTACTTATAGCCAAATAGGAACTATAAATCTTGCTTGGTGCTGGTGATTAAAGCTGGATGAGACCATGCCTCTTGTCCCCATGATTCTTAAATTCTAGCCAGGGACACTTACAGTAAACACAAAACTTTAATGCACAGCATTTGGAAATCTCACAGTAGTTTGCACTATTTGTATCTCTGAGAAGCCTATGCCAAAATGCCTTCTCTAATGTCCCAATTAACACATACATACTTCACAAAGTCACTTTTGCATATATTTAATTTCTAATAATGGAATAATATCAACTCTTCCAAAACTGTGAAACCTATTTAAATTTGCTATTTTTTTTAAATGTATATGGCTTTGAAGAAGTTAATTAAATCAATTAAATATTAAAAATCAGAGAAATAAAACATAACAAAAACCATTTTCTTAGTACTCAAAAAAATTGTGCCTCCCACAATTCTCGGGAGAAGTAAAAATTATCATTTCCCTTAGGGTTTACCATACTGTTTCTTCAAAGATCAAAATGTATTTTGGAAATATTAGAAGTTTTAAATTGAATTAAATTTACTTATGAATCTTTTTCTCACTTTTAATTCTTTTTTTTTAAAGAGAGAGAGAGAATTTTTTTAATTTTTATTTTTTAGTTCTCTGCGGACACAACATCTTTGTATGTGGTGCTGAGGATCGAACCTGGCCGCACGCATGCCAGGCAAGCAAGCTACTGCTTGAGCCACATCCCCAGCCCTCGCCTTTAATTCTTAACATTTAAAATTTTGATAATGTCCAAGTTAAAAATGCTACTGTTTGTCCTACTTCCATCATTCACAAGTAGTTCTCTACATTATTCTTTTAATCCAGTTCCTTATGACGTATGCTGTTACTAGAACTGTGTTTTACAAACTGCCAGAGTCTTCTAGGACTTTGGAATGCTGCTTCATGGACTGTAGGTAGTCATGACGCTGTAAAAAGTACGCTGGTGGTTTAAATCAATTCCTGAAGTCTCCAAAACTACCAATTTCATTCCAAAGAATTGTAAGAGTTTACAAATTTGTAATTCTTGGTTCTTCAAAAAAGAATCTATATGGTTAACACCATAATATTTTTAAAAAGATTAAAATATTAGTTCTTTGTGGAACAGTGAAACTTACATAAGCTTAAGTGCACAAAGAATAATGAAATGAGATATTAGTAGTGATATTAGGATCATGCTGGGCCAGAGGAGCTGCTTCTTCTAATTAGACTTTAACCCAGCTACACCTCTTTCTTGCAATGTCCTTCAGGGAAATATTCATGCAAAGGGGCACAATTAAATAAATGGGGCTGCATCCATAGGCTTACAGCTCTATTTAAGTAGAATAGATCTAAGAATGTTCGCCTAGACTGAAAGCCCTAATGCTGTGGAGTAATTAAAATTTGCATGTTACAGTATAAAATGCACACACACTAATGCACCAACATGGCCAGATACTACTCTGACTTTCTGTCCTTCAGGTTTATTTAGATTGCTACTAAAGAAGGTGGAAAGTCAGACAAGAAAGACAAAGATATTTGGTTTAACCCTCCAGACTCGGGTACTGCTTCATCTTATCTCCTCAACTTCATGGAAGCAGCAGAAAACAGGAGAGAAAGACTCATGCATTGTGAAACTGAATTGTGTGTATGTTGGTCAGGTCCCCAGCTCTTGGTAAAGCAAACTGTCACATTTCTGCCACAAAGCTAATTTTTTCTACTTGGACTCCAAAGTTCACCTCTGGAATTACAGTGTTTATTTCTTTTGGCAGCAATAGATAAATTGAAATAGGCTTACAGATGAGCTAGCATGGTCAGATGGTCAAATCAATGTATACATTTTAGTTATAAGTATAATGTATAAATTTTAGTGTGGTAGATGAGAGAAGGCAGCATAAGTCGACAAAAAATAACAGAGAAATGTAAAGCATCTGAATTATGACAGAAGTTACTGTTTGGATCTAAAATGTCCCACACAGAACCTGAATTGAAGGCTTGGTTGCCAGGCTATGGTACTATTGGGAGGTACTGAAAAATTTAGGAGATAGAGCCTAGTGGAAGGAAGTTACATCACAATGGTGAGTCTTTTGTTGGCTATTGGAACCCTAGCATTCTCTCTCTCTCTCTTTCTCTCTCTCTCTCTCTCTCTCTCTCTCTCTCTCTCTGGGATATAATAAATTAAATAGTTTGCTCCACTGAATACTTCTCTTCACAGACCCCAAAACACAGAACCAACAACCAAGGACTAAAACCTATGAAACTGTTAGCAAGAATAAACCTTTCATCCCAATGAGTTGTTTCTCTCATAGCAACAGGAAGTGAATGGAAGCAATGAAATGCCTGTGTTCCTTGTTATCTTTTGTCATATTTATTAGTGGCATCAAATTAAGTTCACCAGTAGTGCATGATAATAATGACTCTTGGTATTCTAGTTAAACCTGACAATATTAAAGAGGATATATTTGAGAATGTCCATACTGGTTAAGAGAGAAAAGTTGAGAGGCAATACTTCATTTAGGTAAGAATTGATGTTAAGAATACCTGAGACAGAATTTCATGGTAAGAATTTGATGGTGAATTTTAAATGAAAGAGAAAACACAGAGGAAGTTATTGCTGGGGCCAATTGGTGGACAGAAACAATATGAAGAGCTTACTTTAATGGACAACAAAATTTACATTTTGTAAGCAACCTCCAATGTCTTTACAGAGTTGGAAATTTAGATTTGAAGCCTACAATAGAAGTTGAAGATTTATTTGGGGGATGTTAAAGTATATTGCATGTTGAAGAAATAGCTCTGGGATGAGTTATACCAAAGAGGAGAAAAAGCTATAAAGCAATTGTTAGGAGGATTTACTACAATAAGAAAAATAGTCCCAGAATCCATTTAATCCAATGAAATCCTCATACTAAGCAAATGATTCATGGAAAGAATAACAAAAAGCATACTGAAACCTATCTTTTGTCAACACCAAATTCAGTGTTAAAGGATATTTGTTGACTATATAAAGAGAATGTAAGTGTATTAAAATTTACTATGGCCAATGGCATAATGAAAATTATGATATTAATAGTGTTTTCCTTTAGCTTATATTATATTTTAGGAAATAATCCATGAATGTAAGTATATGATGACAACTAAGGAAAAATTCAAAAGTCATTATTTTACTTAATTAAGTGATAAAGTTAATTATCTAGTTAGGTGATTCTGGAAGATGTTGTCTTTTTTTGGAGTAGGATAATATTTATCAAACAACTTTCTAAGGTGTTACTTTTTATAATTTTCCTTGTGATTTCCAATGTGTCTTTTTTGGAGCATTCTCCAGCTTTACATATTTTTATATTGTATTAGGGTTCTCTAGAGGAACAGAACCATCATAATAATGTGCATGTCTATGTTTATAAAAGAGAAAGATTCATTTATATAATCAGAAGCTGGATAGTCCTACAATGGAGACTATACATGGGTGAGTTGGAGAAACCAGCAGCTGCTCAGTCCAAGAAGTCTCACAATAAGAGCAACCAGTGGTGAGAGGCATCCAAGCTAGAAACTCCCTGGAAAAATCACTGGTAGGAGTCAACATTGGAAAAAGCGAAGGGGCTAGATTCTAAAGTCCTCTCACGGTAGCAGTGATCAGTGAATTTGCTCAGGAATAAACAACTTGAATTCACCTCTCCTTCTTTTACTTCTTGTTTCATCTGTGCTCCCCACTTATTGGACAGCACTGCCAACATTCAGGGTGATCTGCCTCCTCAGTTAGCTTTTCCACAGGCCAGTGATCCCTGGAAAGACCCACATCAACGTACCTGGAAGACTCCTCATTTTCAGAGTTTCCTTGGCATCTCTCAATCCAATCAAGTTGACAATCCAGGTTGATCATTATGAATATTACCTAATTCTTGCACTCAATAGAATGCACAGAAGAACATTTGTGAATACAAGCATCCATTTTACCAACATTGATGGGTAGCATTGTGTGTATAAAGGAAACTATAAAAAAAAGGTAACCAAAATATGTAATCATTATAAGTAATTTATTTTAGTTTTTATTTGATAATATTGAGTTGAGTTTCTTTCATGGAAATGTGTAACTATACAACTTTATTATCTTTTTATTCCACTGACATTTATGTTCATATTTTCCCTAGATATTGCAGAAATTGCTGCTCGTAGCAGAGATTCACTTTCTTATAACTTGGTAATCTCTGTATAAAGTAGACATCTCTTCCCAGAAAGATTGTCAAAATATTTGAAATTGATTTTGGTATATAAAGCTTGAGTTAATAATATTCTATCCTTGATCTAATAATTATACAAAGGAATATAATGTTGCTCTTCTTTTCTAGGGGCTAATTTATGGGTGGACTTTATTTAAGACTCTCAAGTAGAAATTCTAATTATCCCTCATAGCACCTTGGGAGAAAGTCTAGGACACAGCAAACAGCAGTTGTGCAGTACAAAGTTTTAAATAAAAATACATACTAGTCTGTACTTCTGGATGAAGCTCATGAACAAGCTTGCACATTAGCTTATTTCGGCCAAATTACTCAGCTGACTTGGGGACATTAATCAGTCCTTGTGGTTGCATGTCAATGTTGTTCTGAAAAATGAGCTAGTATTTTATATTGACAAAGACTGGCATGATAGAGAAATGGCTTTTTAAAGCTTGATAGCACTTTGCTCATTATGTTTGGCTACATTTTGTCCATACCCAAGTGGACTTCCATTCTTCCATTGTCAAATTAGCCTTTCCACAAGGTTGATAACTAGGAAATTTCTGATTTAATGGGTTTTGGGGCTTGTTTATAAAGTTTTTATTTGATTTCTTCTTTTCTGTCTTTTTTCTCCCCATTTCCTTTTACTCTGTTCTGTGTTCCTTCCTTCCTTCATTTCTTTCTTTTCCCTCCTTTCTTTCTTTGTCCCTTCCTTCTTCCTTCCTTTGTCCCCTCCTGTTTCTCCTTTTGTCTTGCTTGCTGTCCCAGGAATTCCCATGTATGGAATATTGGTGGTGTCAGCCTAAGGTCTAGGAATCTGCATGAAAAGATGTTGTTAAGGCCAGAATTTCTTGGTGGTTGTCCTTGCACACAGTAGAAACTACCAGGGCTTATTCTGTGCTCCAGATGAAAGTGGTATGGAATCGTAGTGAAACAGAGATATTAAGGCAATTTCCTATTGTTGCCATTATTCTTGTTTTTTTTTCAATTTTCAAGTCCTTGAATACATCCTGACATCTTACCTCATGTATTACACCTCCTCTTTGTGACCTTTTATGCAATATGGCTAGCCATATCCCTGATAAATATTTATTTATTCCTCTTGAATATTGTAAATCCTATTGATTTCTTGCATGGATCCACCACACATGACTACTCTCATAATAGGAATTGGTTCAGTTGTTTAAAACCTTAGCTATCATCTCAGAAACTTTTAGACTACTGGTCTTAACTGAGATTAAATCTTCTGAAAACCTGATTACAGAGACTATCAATGTATGTATGTCTATTTCTGATGACTCTTAAATCTTCCTGGGATCTTTCCCCAGTGCTTAGATGTGCCTTTATATCTAAACTCACTATGAAAATTGTGTGTGTTCCTAATATAAGCAGATTAGATTTTATTCATGATCATCCTGCCCAGTTCTGTTACCTATTTTATTTATATCGAATAAATCTGACTTAAAATTTTACACCCTGAATATATCAATTTTGGGGATGGGTGGGTGGAGGAGTGATGGAGCAGTATTGGAGACAGATCCCAGGGCTTCACAGGTGCTAGGCAAGGGTTCAACTGCTGAGCTAAACCCTTAGACATCTTTAAATTTATTTTGAGACAGGGTCTCAACACATTGCCCAGACTGGCCTTGAACTTGTATGTCCCATGTCTCCGACATGGGATTACAGGTGTGCATCACCATGCCTGGCTTATTTTAAACATTCTTAATAATTTATTTTCATAAACACATCAAAGATAATGCTCCTTTCAGCTCTTCAGTGTGTTTCTTGAAAAATTTGTTATGTAATTCAGCATTTAAAAAAAATATATATATATTCATATGTATGTATACACACACACACACACACACACACACATATATATATATATATATATATATATATATATATATTGCAGGTGAACACAATGCTGTTTTTTAATTATTATTTCTTGCATACATGACAATAGTCCGGTGCTTCATACATGACAGGCAAGCACTCTACTGCTGTGCCACAACCCCAGACCTGTAATTCAGCATTTTAATGTTTTGTCTCAGCACAACTTCTCTGAACAGTGAATATGCATAATATTCATTGATGTGTTTTGAATGAAATACCAAAACATGCTAGATTATTATATATTTAACAATTCCTACAGTACTCACTCGTCCTAGTGACCTGGATCCCTAAGTCTGGATGCTGCGTTGTCCACCAATACTTTTAATTTCCTCCAGAGTATATAAGCTTGTCACCTACACACAGTTTTTTAGTCATACACTTGCTTAACTTAGCCCTTTCTCCCTTCAGGGTTGGCGATGGGATTCGTTTTTGCCTAGGAAATGAACATAAGTGTCCAAGTTCAGGTTTAAGGCTTTGAAGTCAGAACCTGTCTTCTTCAAGATCCCTGTTTCTTCTATGGACTGTGTTCATTTGATGGAAAAAAGTGAAGGAAGATGAAACAGGAGCCACAAATGAAGAAAAGTTGGATCAATGTAAGCATCATGAAAGGAAGAAAGACACCTCCAGCTCAAAATAACAGACGAGAACTGTTTTGTAAAAGATAAATAAAATGATGAAATATTACTTATTCCATAAATTTATTTAGATATTATACATTTGAGGATCATTTTTTAAGATCACACATATAAATAATGGCTAATGGATAAAACAACCCAAAACACTTTAAACCAAATAATTTTAAAGTTTTTTCCTTTGGAAAGACTTTTTTTTGGACTGTCCTAGAGTAAACAAAGTATTCTGCATTCCCATAGACCCTGTAGTATCATGATCATATCCATCATTAAGTCACACTAGGTTTTAAAATTTAGTTTCTCAAATAGCAGCTTCTGCTGTTGAGGGCCACAGCCGAGTTGGGATGATGCATGGCATTTTTACCAGAAGTAGTGGTTGAGAGGTGACGGCAGCGAGCCATTAAGATGATGACTTTTGAGTTCTCACAGAGTTCCCCTTGAGTTCCGGTTGAGCTCTAGCAGGGATTCCTGAAGAGTTGGCCTTGGTTGGTGAAGTTCCAGGGGTGGGAGTTCCGGTTGGTGTGTGGTGGTTCCTGGAGGAGCCGCGTGGGTGGCATTCAGGAGAGTTCCCTGGGAGTGTGCTGGTGGAGTTTGGAAATAAAGTTTGTTCCTGCTTGAGTGGCTCGTGATTTGTGCCCAGGCAGACTGTGGCATTCTGCCTTGCTAGGGATAGTCTCTTCAGCATCTATCCCATGACTTAAAATTATGAAGTGCTCAATAAATATGTATCCTAGTAAGAAATAATTGAGCACATATGGAAGTGATTAGAAAACCACATGGATTTATAGTTGTAGAGCTTCGATGACAACTCTGAATAGTCAACAGATATGCTGATTTGAAAATAGCATTTTCTCCTGGTTAATTAATTTTCTTTAAAAATAAAACCTTACAGCTATATCAGAAATATTTGCATATGAAAGATTATGTGAACTTGATATATAAAATGTTAGATTTTCTAATATTTGAATATAGTCCTCCATATTGGTGACACCATGTGAGATTTCAAGAAACACACTCTAATATCTGGCTAATATTATTTTTTCTTATTTTCTGACAAATATTGTAGTCCATATTTGTGTTGTATTCATCAATATGCCTCCTATACTTATTTAGCATTGATATATGTGAAATATAAATCAATATTAAAAGTGTTAGTTGCTGTGCATTTTGCCTTCAATATGATTAAGTTTTTAAAAAGAAAAGTTAGCTGCAGCCAAGAACCTTCAAAAATTTAGTTCAGAAATGAAAAGAAGCTTTTTAGATTAACCAACCATGTGAAAATAGCATCTTTGAACTACGGATACTTTTGCTTAATATGACAGCTAACTAAGCTTTCTTTAAGCACAATATTTCTACAAAAACTGAAAAGCTATTCCAACTCATTTATAGACTGGACACTTTTATATATTGAAGGGGGGATGATTCTTCCTTACCTCTTCAATTTTAGGTGCTTTTTTTTTTTTTTACTCTTAAATAAAATGGATTTTTATTTAGGTTAATCGCCTTTAGTCTGAATCTGAACTCTTCCTTGTTACATTCTCTTGCTGTAAAGCTTAAACTACTTTTTAGATGTCTCCCTTCACAATTAAGGTAAAATCCTCCATTAAAACCCTCCTGAAATAATGCTGGTTTATTGTCAGATTATCAGGACTATAGAATATAACCTAATTCACTGTTAGATCTCAAGAATTTGTACAGTTAACTGAAAATGTATAATAATTCATTTTCATCTGAATATACTCACCAATTACAAGTTGAACATTTCTTTAAGGCTTAGTAAGTTGGTTCCTTCCTGTAAAAGTCTATTTTCAAGTGTGGTAACCACTTTCTAGATCTCCTATCCTTCTGATTCTAAAGTCATCAGCAATCTCCATTTATTCTTTTGAAGTTTTTATTTTTAAATTATTTTTAAAAGGAGGTCTGACACATTTTTTAATTAAAATTTTGTCTATAAGATCTTATTTGCTTTTGGAACAAACTAAAGCACTTATGATTTTTACTATTCCATGCAAATACTGAATATGAAAAAGAAATTCTAAATACCACTTTGTAACAAGATATTTCTCTCACTCTTGTTTCTACATGTGCACTGGAATTTATCAATTACCAAAAGAAGGTGTTCTTCATTTATGGTGACTTGCTCTCTGAACATTCAAAGCAGAGTATAGGAACTCAAACATTTAGTTATGATTTACAGAGACTTGAACAGTGAATCTATGTGAAAATTGAATTTAATGTAACCTTAATATTAGATTCAGTATTTTTTGTCTGTAAGTATTTTGGAACATCTAAAAGTTCTAGAAAAATTGCAGTTTCTAATACTGCAATTACATACATAATCATAAGAATGGAAACAAGTTGAAATGAAAGATACTTTCTAATTTAATATTTTTACTATAAGCAAATATTAAATGACTTTATAAAAGCTATAGGTGTTATCTTAAAAATTAAGTATATATTTCTTACAAAATAGGAAAAACCAGATTTTTTTTAAAGTTTAATTTAATTGATTTGAGATCATTTTCTTGTGTCTGTAGCCCACATGTACAAGATATGTAAAAGTGCTTTTGAATAAAAGTAAAAATTTGCACAAACCTGTATGGGGGAGTTGTTAAAATATTATTTCTTCTTTGTAATCATGTTCAGACAGCCTCTCACTATCTTACCTGATTCTTTTTTTTTCCCTCACTATCTTTGACCCTTCCCAACAAGTTGAGAACTAACATTGCATCTGTTATTGCTTCACTCTTCCAATACATCAAACCTGTTCTTTCTTTAAGGACCTATGTTCTATGCTTAATGATTAGACAGATTTTATATAATTTAGTCTAGTTAGAAATGCTCATCCAAAAGTAATCCAGGGTATATCCTGTAACAATATATGACAAAGAAAGGCTATTTTCATAGGTTGGGCTCCTTACAGATGGAGATTGGTTATCATGGGATTTCATTAGTGAATACTCAGGGTCAGTGCCTCACATTACTGGAACAAGTTGAAGTTGGTCTACAATGTATTCACAACAAGGAGTCAGCTGATACCAGGGAACGCTTCAGAAATTTCTCAAGTTGAGGCAAGGACACAATGTCCTTAACCCCAGCATTTTCACACCAGTGCATGAGGCTTTCCCAGGAACCTGAGTTCATGTACCTGGATGAGGAATCAATCTTCACTACAGTCCCTCCAGCTCCTGCTTTGGGAACTGATTGAAGGATCCTTCCAACAGCTGAGGAGATAAATCCTTCAAAACAGAAAGGAAATTTAGCAACAAGCCTCTGCCACTCAAAGTTTACAATTATTCATATAATTTAAAAAAGAGAGAGAGAAAACTAACTGTTGGCAACTACACAGAATTTATTTTTACTAACTTATCCTTTCTTTTCTGGACCCCAGTCTTCTTTCTTAATAGCATTTATTTATTGTTTTTTTTATAATTCTCATTCATGATCTATCTGCTTCACACAAGTAAATATATTATTTTCTTTAATACCTTTTTTTTTCAATCAGCAGACTTGCAATACATAATCCTGCTTATTAAGGTGGGTAATATCTTTTTATCAATAATGATTAACTTATCTCCACAATGTTAATTGTATAATAACACTTGATAAGGAGTTTTCTATAAAATGAAGGCCTTCTCTCCTCACATGCCCCTAGAAGCCTGACCTGCCCTTGACAGGAAAGTTACCCACCTTCTGCTTACTTTCCAAATCGCATTTGCACCTCATAACCTCTGATGCTACAGATGAAGAAAATAAAAGAATTTAAGCTCTTTCCCAAGACTGCAGACCTAGTTTGTAATCTTTCATTGTGTCTTGATGTTTAGTTAGTGTCCCTGTGGTTATCTCAGTGCCTAGAGCACAGGCAGTCTTTGATAAATATTTGTTGTTGAACTTAGGCAGAGGCAGAAATTATTGAAAATGAACTTCAGTAACAACACTGGGCAACAAAACCACTGGAAAAGTGAATTATTTTGTGATCAAGAAGTCAAAGCACATATACTCTTTATGATAAAATTGAAAATATATAAAAAGTATACTAAAGAGTCTTCAAAAATTATTTATTCTTCATTGTAAGTACCCTTGGAGGTAATCAAGATTTTCAAGAAAGCTAATTTGAACTTCTGGTTTTCATTGTCAAGACTCCATCAGATCAGCTACAAAAAAAAGTAAGAGAAAAATAACTAAATTAGGAAGAAAGTGGGAAATATGTAGGGATCTTATTTTCTCTTTTAGAGGTATTCATCTGAAAGTGAGAAATAGAGCACATCTCTGGTCATGTAAACATGACTTGGTAACTTAAATAAAGATTTTTATGATTTTACAACAGTTTGCCTCAGAACTACATCCATCAAATAGTATAATACCTCTGACTTTTCAGTTTAACCAGCTGCAAAAATGAAGTGCTAGCACTGTGGTCCCTGAAATCTCCACAAGAACCAACACTCTCTAAACCCATGAACGACTTTTGCTCATTTCTATGTGCATCATGAGTCACATATTTCCCTTACACATATAACTTTTGTTATACATAATTTTTTGTTAATTTTATTTATGTGGTATATCATATAGTCCTTATACCAACTTATTTATCTGGATACATTTTCTCATACAGCAAACACATTTGAGACTAAAATATCACAGTTACACTTTTGATAACATTTTAGTTTCTAAATTATTAATATAACTGATTCAAGAAATACTGGAGCAAGTGGTGTAGATGATATCATGTGAGATACACACACACACACACACACACACACACACATATATATATATATGTATAAATGTACATATATATAATATATATGATACCTTCTTATCAAAACAAAACTGAAATATTCTCAATTTAAAAACTTTTCTGGCTCTAGGAATTCATATTAGTGTTTGGGACCTAAATATATATTTTACATACTACATAAAGATATTGGTCTTCTTTAGACATGGATGTGGACTTTTAAATATAATGGCTTTTATTTCTTTCCACAGGTTTGCCAGTATATGACTTTGAATAAACATGAACTTCTATTGCTTCATTGACTAAGGCATTACTTT